GTTGACTTGAGGTATAAGGAACCATTAACCCTGAGTCTATGCCTGTATTCAAACATTTGCAAATAATGTCCTTTAGGACAGGAGAAAGATTCTGTGTAACACTAGCCTCCATTGAATATTCTGTCATGTTTTTTTCCACAGTGGTAGGATTTTCATATCCAGTCATTCAGCATGATTCTGTGTGGAAGCCATGCAAAATTAGCACCATTGTGTTGTTGTACACAACCAGGAAATTTTCTCATGCAAATTACTAATATGCGGAATTCACTAGTTCTATATAGTTGCCTTTGATTTGTATTTATGTCAGCCTTTAGATCAGATGGTGATTGCGATAGCTACATTATGGCAGGGTGGCTTTAAGTTGATCTGGGAACAGATGTATACATGTGTGGCAAGAAGTTTCCTCAAAGTAACTCTGAATTGGACATGGCATCTCTATTTATAGACCCAGCCACGTCAACACGCCATTAAATCTTCATTAAGGGTTAGCATTCTAGGCTTGGGCCTCCTGGAGAAGAGGAGCATTCATTAGACACTGCTTTTGGAACTCTTTAGGTGTGTGAAAGAAGGTGTCAGAATTGATGCATGTGTTCATTTGGTGGTTTGTCATTTGTTTGCCTTGTTGTTTGTATATGCCAGCTGAATAACTGTCAGTAAGTATCGCTATTGGCTCTTTGGTGGCCTTGTTCTCATTGGATGATTACTTTTCGTTCTGGGTGGATACACATGATTGTGTAAATGTAGCATTTCCTTTAAAAACAGCTTCTATAAGCTGGTTCATGTTTAAATGTGCTGATGTGTCTTCCTGCAGGGCATCCGTGGGCTTCAAAGTGCCCACATCATTGTGGGGACAGACGTGTGGTTGTGAATTTATTTGGTATACTTCCGTACGGTTATATATGGGAATGTTCTTGGTGATGGTTTAGGAGCAGCACTTCTGGATTGTGCATCTGCAGCTTAAATATGCGGATGAGTCCAGTGCCTTGATCAGTGTGGCATGGGCTGTCTCCAGCAAAGAGTGACAGAGTAGAATTGGGGTTTCGTAAAGGATTTAAGCAAAGCTTTTTTTTGCTGTTTTCATTTTCATTACTTATGTCTGTTCATGTATACATGGAAAAAAAACATGCCCTCTTTGCCTGGGTTTCCTCTTTGCTAGGTGTTCAGTCTTCTGAACTTTCAAAATGTAATGTGCATTTGTGTTTGTGCACAGGGCTTGTGTGTTTCTGGCCTGTTTCCACTGCTTTGCACCAACCTTGTGGTTAAACAATCATAAGCCCCTGAAGCCACTGAGTGACGTGAGATTGTCCTGTTGACGCGGAGGGCCCTCCCCCCCCAGCCTGACTGACACACAAAAGATCCACAGAAGGATTCAGCTGATAAAGCAAACGTGGGCGCTAAGTGACGGACAGCTTTGCACAGTGCTGGAAATGGACTAATTGAGTCTCTGGTGGGGGGGTGGTGTGTATGCTGCATAACTGGATCCCTCCCTAGAAACTCGTAGGACTGTGAAGGCTGTAATGCCTGTGACACAGATTTTCCCTGCGGAGTAGCAAAACTGGGACATGATTGTACAGAGTTAGGAACTGGGATAGAGGGCAAAAGGTGATGCATTTTCAAATCCAGGGAGATGTTTGACTTTTTAACAATTTTATCAAATATGCTTTACCTTAAAGATATTGGTAAATACCTTTGGCTGATGACCATTAATAATGATTTTTAAGCTGTTTTTGTTGGTTTGGATAAAAGTTCATAAAGCAAGTAATTCAATTTGAAATTAGAATAAGATGGTAATGAAGGCCTTCATAGCACAGCGGCCCTTCAGCAGCTCCTGCTTATTATACTCAAGGTTCTATCAGCCAAATTCCTCTCCTCTTTCCATCTGCTTCGCTTTGTTTTTACTCATGCTACTCTCCTGCTCCATCTAGCTTAAAATACAGATAGTTGCTCCCCCACAGTGTGTGCTGCTTATGACCTGTGTGTACACATGTACGCAGCACAGCCGAGGGGAGGGCAGTGGTCCCTTACTATTCCCATTCTGGGATGGGGGTGGGGGGGCTGGGGGAGCGTTGGAGTCTGCCAGTGTGTTGCTGCTGAGACAGAGCCAACGACAGGAAGGAAGTTGCGCGGCTGCAATTTCTCACTCACAAAAGCTGTGCCTGTCTCTCCCGCTGTTTATATCTGTGTCTGAGTTCGCCTCTCTGTCTTGCACACACTCTCTCTCAGCTGCTGAAGTACAGGAAGTTGTGGGGTGTGGCCCAGTGCGCTGTTCTGCTGCTCTGCTCTGGTTCCCCACACATCACAGGATTCGCGGGGATTTCTTTCCTGTCTGTTTTTTTTTTTTATTCCCTCCCTCTGGGCAGCAGGAAGGTCATTGTGGACTCTAGGAGCAGGAAATAAGGAGTTTTTTTTGGGGAGAGGAACACTTTGGCAACGGACGAGTGCATCGACAAGGGAAAGGGGAGGGGGGGGTATTTGGGGGTGGGGGACCATGGCCAGCGAGGGATCGGTGTCAGAGGGTCCGGGTGAACGGGCCGAGGACAACAGTCACGCTGACCCAGAGGCAGTGGTAGGCCCCCAGGGGGGATCGCCTGTGTCTGTCTGGCCCACAGCTCCTTCATGTGCTTACCTTCTTCATCCTGTTCTACTTCCTCTGCAGAGTGTCTTTTCAGTTTGCTTATCTTGTCACTAAAAATGTTTTTGGGTGCAGGGGGACTTATATATATGTTTTGGTTAGTTCTCCTCCAAGATCAGGGTTTTATTTTTTTTTCCTTTTGTTTCCCGTCATCTGACTGCTTCTCTCTTGCTCGCCTTGTTCTGTCTCTAGTTTTCTCATTAAACCTTTTTGCCATTAATGGCGCACCCTTGCAGCCACCCAGCCCCTTCAGTAACGTACTCGTCTTGGCTGTGTGTGCACAGTGCTCATACCCATTCATTTTTAAAAGTATGAGTTTTTTTAAGTGTCAAATCTTTCTCTCCCTAAAATATAGATTTTTATTTTTTTATTTAATTTAATAATAATAAAAAAAGGTTATATACGAAGTAAGCACAAAAAATTGAAACGATAGTACTAAGAAAGTTAACACCTTTTATGCTGTTACTCCTGTGTTCTGGGGTGAAATGGAGAAAAGGGTTGAAAAAAGCAGAAACTTTCTGTATTTGACACTTCCGCCTGTCTGCTGTCCTTCCGTCTCTGGCTTGTCGGTATCATGTCTTCCTCTCGCACAGTTTGAGCAATATTGCCTGTTTGTAGAGGAGTAGGTGCTCCATCAGCCTAATAAGTGAGACTGGCTGGGTTGGAGGGGGGTGTTCATACACCCAGAGCATTTACCCGTTTTGCCTGAGGACCTTCCCGACCGTGACGTGTTTCACTAGGGCGCGGCATGTCACCCTACAGTAACTTGGGCTTTGCCTACAAATATATCCGTAGGAAATCTCCACCTAAAATGGTATTACTAATACAGCAGGCATGTATTGTTCATGACCTCCTACTAGTTAAGTGACACGTGAATAACCTTCCATGTGGAATACAGCAGCCATGGCTCTCTCTGTACTGATTCAGCCAGGTCTCCACTGGCTTGCTGAGGGCTGTTTTACACAGAGACTCCCTCACCTCCTGTGCCCTGCCGATCGTGACGCTCTGTTGACACAGCCCGTACAGGCCCCGCGACCACATTTCTGTTGTAGCCATGGTGACCGGCTCAGGCCGAGAGAGCATGGCGCTGCTGCAGCCCGTATGCATGGCTGTCTTCACCCGTAAATCGATCTCCATCTCACCTGAAGGTGGTGTAATGTTCCCTGATCCTCTTCCCATCAATTTTTCTAGGGCTTAAGAGATACTTATTAGGTCTTATTTTGGTAGCCTCTGATTGGATAGTTGCTGTCCATTTGTTTTGACAGTTTCAAGTGACTATGGCAGGTGTGGTCGCTGCCTGGGTCATCCTGTTGACTGCGCACATGGGTGTGTGACTCATCACTAACAAACCAGTCTGCCTTGCTGTGCCATGTGCTGATTTTTTTATATGGCCAAATAGGCTGTGTCTTTGTTATTTTGCGTCGCATAAGTAACCAGTAATGCTGGCTTTTACAGGAAGTGGATTTACAGGTAGTGTACTAGACGTCATATCAGTTTTTCAAGGCTTGGCATCACAAAGTAAAGTACAAGGAAAACTTTCTCCTGTTTTGGTTCCTTTTTTCCTCCTGCTTTGGCCTGTGCGTATCAGATGAATTGCACAAGCGAGCAAATTTGCTCTGTTCAAGTCCCTCCAGCCCCATCTCCCAGCAACCTCCTCATTCCTTATCATAAACTGAGTCTGTTCTCCTCTTCCTGTAACGTGAGTCAACGTCTGTTCGCGCCAGGCTTTAAAAGCACGGAAACCCCCCCCACCACCACGGTAATCCGTGTTGTGTCGCTCAGCAGGGCCATAAGGAAGGTGCTCCGCCCCCATAATCCCACCCCCCACGAGTTGCCGCGTCATCAGAGTTACACAGGAAACAGGAAACCTCTGAGGCCCATGCTCTGGCGGACATCCTCAAACGGCACTGCCTCTGTTCTTCTGCCTGCTGTGAGGCTCCCCTTCTGTCTGTCTGATCCCCTTCTCTTGTCATCTCCCTTGACTCCGTGGCCGCTGCTCTGCCATCACCGGGGTGCCATGTGCTGGCACGGGGAGGGATGGCCTTCCCTGGAAGAGGTGACCTGTCCTTGGTTCTTCTCAGCAGCTTTTATTTTCGCCTGTGGTTCATATACGCCCGTTCGCAGCACCCTTGTTGACGCTGCTGGTTCGGGAGTAGAGAACCTGCAGAGAGGTCGGCCTGCCTCTGTCCCCGATACCTCAGAGGAAGCCAACTGCCTCTGTACTTGTTTCTGCTTGTTGATGTCATTGTCTAGGGCTGTCTTCAGGGCATGGCTCTCTTATTTTTTATATCTCACTGCTCCTTTTGAGCCCACGTATCTCCCTTCTCATCTCGTCTCTCATCTCCTGCCCCCTCCCCCCTTCCGTTAGAGTGACCCAGACGGGCTGTCGGTGCTGGAGCAGCTGGGTCTGGAGCACAGCTCCGACTTATCGGACAGCAGCGTGCAGCAAAGACTGGACGAGCAGCGGGAGCGCATCCGGCGCGAGATCCGCAAGGAGCTGAAGATCAAGGAGGGCGCCGAGAAGCTGCGGCGTGCCACCACCGACAAGCGCAGAGCCGTGCAGGTGGACAGCCAGCTGCGCACCTCCAACAAGCGCCTGGACACCCTGCACACCCAGCTGCAGGAGCTGGATGCTCACATCGTCGTCAAGCACCCCAATGACATCCGCGGTGAGGGGATGGGGACAAGTGGGTTATGGCTGGTAAAATGCCCATACTGGCAACAAGAGCTGCTGTAGATGTAGAAGAAGAATGTAACTGGAATTTCTTCTGTATATATACAGTTTAATATATAGCACAATGTATTATTGCAGATCATTCTTGTTTCTATTAAGAAATGTGAACGGCTTTAAATATGTTCTAATATAAACCATACTGCAAATTCTAAAGCTACCACTGGTTTTTCACTGCCATCAGATGAAGCCCCACAATCCCCTGGGGCTGTCAGCCAGCCATCAGCCAACCAAGAACGAATTGCAGCCCTGCAGCGTCAGCTCAACATCGAGCTCAAAGTCAAGCAGGGAGCCGAGAACATGATCCCTATCTATGCCAGTGGCTCCACTAAGGTACCAGTCACCCACCCTGCCCTTTTTCCTTTAAATGATTACCCCTCTGCCTGCTGAATATATGATGCCGTGTTTCTGCCAGCTGGCCCAACCTTGCATGCTTTCACCCCACCTGCCTCACTTAAACATTAACCCACACTGGATGTTCCCCCTCTCAGGACAAGAAGCTACTGCAGACAGCTCAGCAAATGCTGCAAGACAGTAAAACAAAGATCGACATCATTCGCATGCAGATCCGCAAGGCCGTTCAGGCCACAGAGCAGCAGACGGAGGATGTGCAAGGTAAGCCTGTCTGACTGGCCCATACGACCGTTTCTTTGTTGTCTGAATAACCTCTTTATAGTGGTTTAACCACAGAGTCTCTTTCTGAATGTTCTAGAACATAACCATGCTGTCTCTCCGCTCGGGCTCCTGGTTTCCTCTCACATGCAGTTTCTCTTTCCCTCTCCAACCTCGCTGCTTCCTCTGCATCAGTGTTTTCCAGCCTGGTCCTCAGGTTTTTGCAAAAATGGCAGGGAGCTGGGAGGGAGCAAAAACATGGACTGTCTGGGGGTCTCTGAGGACCGGGTTGGGGTGCAATCTGACCAGCATCCAGGAACGCCTGCACAGCTCTGAATCACAGTGACGGCAGCTTGCGCCTCATTCCTCTTGTGCAGCCGGTTATTAACCACCTTACGCAGACAGAAGAACAGTGCCTGTGCTTCTATTGCCATCTCTGGTTAGAGGCTCAGCAGAGCGTGCAGATTTATTTATCTGTAGCTGGAGGTGGCCAGTTGGTCAATGGCGCTGAAAATGGCAGAGTGCAGGGGCCCGGGGACAATTCCTTTGGAAACGTGGCTTAAGCAGGTGTAAGGAAGGAATCAGAGGAAAGAAAATGAAATTAGACTGTGGGAGTAAAAGCAGTAAAAAGATTAAAGGAAAGGGAGCCTGTAATGTCAGAGATTTTGAACAATGCACTTGGTCAATATTTTCTGCTAGACACCGATTGTTGTTATTTTAATATTATTGTTCATAAGAGTAAAGGAAATTACTGAGCAGTCAGTAATGGGGTTTTCTGACTTCTGTGCCAGTATGATTCCACCAGGTTTTTGATTTCTGGAAAAACATTTTCCTAGAATTGTCTTTTTGGGTTTTCCCCCCGTGTCTGTCTGAGGCCTTGTCTCCAGGGTCATCCCACACCCTTTCCCGTGTTCTCCCGTCCTAACGCTCTGTAGCCTTATTAGGAGATAAGTCACCAACTTTGTGTAAAGTACACTCATCTTGATGGTTCATATATGTTATGCTCTGAGTTAGTCTGGCTCTTACCTCAAGCTCCTTGTTCGTCCCCCACCATTCTGCAATGTGGGTGCTGAGTTTTTAAAATGTGTGCGTTAACCCTCTGAAAAGTAGTATGTAATGTAATTATAGACCCACTCTACACTGTGTTCCCCCCATGTCATATAAGGTAAATACAGGCCTTTGGTTCCTGCTTCCCTTCTTTTAGGCAGGAGTGCAACAACTTGTGGGTCTCATTGAATTACAGCTCACTGTGTATTTTTCTTATTGCTGTAACATACACTGCTGCAGGATTTAAACAGTATCTGCCCATTTTTTCCCTCCCTTTTGTTTCGGGTTTTTAGTTTAGACTTTGTTGTTGTCTTTTTTTCTAAATTGACCCAATTCAGAATTTTCCTGCAGTGCTGTGCCCACAGGAGCTGGCAAAAACGATCATACCCACATTGCGGTACTGCGTGGTGCTCAGTCACCTGTTCCATCTCTCACACCCCTGTGCCACAGGGAAGCCCGACCTGTGTGGCGTAGAGCTGCGTATCGAGGAACTGCGACACCATTACCGCGTGGAACACGCCGTGGCGGAGGGGGCCAAAAATGTTCAGCGCCTACTGGGTGCCTCCAAGATCCAGGACAAGAAAGCCATATTGGAGGTCAGGGGTCACTCGCTAACACATTGCAGAGACATCCTTTCAGCAGCTTGCCTAAGATCATGTGCACAGCACTGTCATTTAATTAGATGACTGCATAAGCTGTTTAAATGGACAAGGCTAATGTTTTTTGCAAAACCAGCAACATAGTAGCATAATATTCAGCCACCAATAGCAGACGGCAGGGAGTAGTAATGTGAACTTTTGCACATCTATTAGATCGTGTTTGTTCGGAAGGGGAATGTTCTTCATTCATGACCTGTAATTTTAGAAATCATATAATTAGTGCAATAAAAGCAGAACACAGATCATGTTAGTGTTGCTTAAGCTTGTGGTGGAGGCAACAGGTGGAGATTTAAAACGACAAACCTCAGCACCCCCCTCCCATTCCCCATCGGTGCTGTAGGCTCAGTCCCGCCTGAGTGAGTCATCCCAGAGGCTGGACCTTCTGCGCGACTCCCTGGACCGCCGGCTAGCAGAGCTGCCTGAGGATCACCCCAAGGCCTGCCTCATCAAGGAGGAGCTGGTGTTGGCCTCTTCCCCTGCCTTTAGCTCCCGTCATGGCGCCCCCTATGTGCACAACCAGTACAGCACTCTCAGCAGGCCCTCCCCATTGACAGGTAACTTAGTTACCACCTGCCCCATCATCTAAGGTCAGCCGATACGGTACAGTGGTCTTCATTGATTCAGTTGAAGCTTTGAAGTTTGTTTGGCATGAAAACTCATGGAAAGGGTGATGGATTGTGACTCTTTGCTATTTTTAGGAGATTGTGTTGTTATACTGGAATGTTGTTAGGTTAACAATCCATATCTGCCACAGTCGGTTTAACTGTGAGGGCCGCACCGTTCTGCATGGGCAGACAAGGTTTCAGCTACGGCTCTCAGCATATCGCAACAATCAAACCCTGTAATGTAAGTAATCCTAAAACTTATGAAGGATAATGCATTGCGGTTGCCTCAGGGGACAAACTGGCTGACCAGGAGGAGCACGTGAAGCCGTATAGTTTAACGCTTGGTCAGATATGACTTGCTAACATGGCTTAAGATTTAAATGAAAGAGCTAAGCAGCTACTTCTATGGTTGCCTGATAACAGTAATGAGACCTGTTTAATCTCCTGTCAGATTCTTTTGTAAAGGGTTTACCACTTTTTGTTTACCCATGTATGTGATCATCCTTTCGGTTGATGAGATCAGAGCTGTTGTGGTGTCTTTCTCACGAGACCTTCAGTCCAGCCACTGCCTTTGCATTCCTTCTTTGGAGAATCTGCCTGTCAGCTTTGCGAAGAGCATCTCGCGTTTCGAGATTCCCCTGAAAAATCCGGTCCATCTATCGGTTTGTGTTACAGCCGCATCCCTTGATCTCCCAGTGACATGCCAGCTGAGCTGACAGCAATCCCATTTGAAACCAGCTAATATCCACTGCTTTATCCTGGAATTCTAACTAGAGAAGCAATATGTAAGCATTAGGTTCAGCAGCACAGTGTACGTTCTGATTCGTGCCAAATCCCCCACACTGGCCATGTACTGTGAAGGCAACTGCACAGTGAAAACCGCCTTCGGGCAGTTATCATCTTAGATATCATAATCAGTCCGTCTCTGCATGGCATGCTTGGGTGCCAGTGAGCTTCTCAGCCAAGGAACTCGATGGGGATGCTGCTTATGTTAAGGCTACGTTATCCATGGCTTGCTGGAATGCTTGCTCATGGACATTAAAATGCGTGTTTGTTGACACTCTGCATATTGTTCAGAACAGAATGTGCAACTTTGTGTCATTTGCTAGAAGCAAGTCATAGCCGGAATACTTAAGAGCAATTATTGTCAGTTCTACAGTCTACAAATGGGAGGCTGTTATTTAGTATGAAAATGAAGCAGTCCTTCACCACCATGCTGTGCGTCTCTCAGGGACATTACAGGTGCAGCTGCAGGGTTGCGTGGAGCTGCTGGACGTGGTGCCCGGGAGGAGCCGCGGGACGCCGGTCGTGTTGCCTTGCTACAGTCCCGGGGAAGGCCGCTCCTTTATGCGTGGCAGCAAGGGCCTCTACGGGCGCAGTGGCAGCGTTAGCGGCAAGGCGCCCAGCAAGACAGACGAGCTGTCCTGTAAGTGTGACTCTGTGTGTTTCTAATGTACATTCATGTATGAAGTGTTCCGAATCAGATGGCTGACAAACGGAGCAGTATGCATTGTATTTGGGAGGTTTGTGTGTATGTAAATACTGATGAGTGTGTGTTATGTAAATACTGTCTAGTTGTATGTTTACACAAGTACACAGGCTTCTCTGTGAAGCATAGCAGAAGGGTGTGCGTATGTGTCAGTGTGTGCTGTGTATGGTGTAAGCTGTGCGTCTGTCCATGTGACTGTGTATATGTAAAACATCTCAGTGGTAGAGGAACGTATGTGTGATGTGTGGATGTATTCCGTAGCGGAGGTGAGCGCAGTGCTGAAGCTGGAGAACGCCGTGGTGGGTCAGACTGCCTGGAAGACCGTAGGGGAGCAGGCCTGGAACCAGACCTTCACTCTGGAGCTAGAGAGGGTGAGACCTTCTGGAGTGGCCCTGTGGGGCAGCAGAGCACCCCCAGCTGGGTGTCCTTTCACGTCACCTGCAGCCCACATCTGTCGTATAAGAGCCTGTGGTCACAGGGTGATATTGCAGGAAGAGAACTGCTACCGTACCCTTGATGGGGTCCTAAACACGAGCCAGGTACCCTGCTCCCAGGTCAGGTCAGCTTGGGGAGCATTCACTGGTACAGTGCATTGTCACGCACACTGCATGACAAAACACCTTGGAATCTGTCAGATTCCATTGGCCAACATGCAGTCCAATCCCATCCTCCGGAAATGCTCATCTCTCTTCCGCAGCCAAGTGTTACGGTGGTGTCCCCTTGGCTTGAATCAGCCGCTTGGGTCCTCAGCAATGAGGATCGTGAGAGTAGGATCACCCTCAGGGAAACATGCCACTTGGCCCTAGTGCCGTAACTGACACTCCCTCAGAGTGCAGGTAATGTGCCTCATTTCCGACACCCTGAGCAGCTACTCGTTCAATACAAAGTCAAATTAGCGGTACCCAAGGATTCTCCGAAGAGAGGCAGTACCAAAGGAGTCCAGTTTTCGTCTCAGGTCACTGGATAGCATCCATGATTCTCAGCCATACAGCAAAACATGGAGCACCAAGTCTTTAAAGACTTCGACCATCGTACTCTTACAGCGATATCGGGATTGCCATACACCCCTTTCCAGCAACCTCATGACCCCCCATCCTCTCCCAGTCCACCTACTGATTTCATATGAAGAGTCACCAGAGACATGAATGTCACTGCTGAGGTAACTGAACCTCTCAATGAGGTCGACATTCTCTCCGCAGACAGACACTCTGCTAACGCCTGTGAGGTCATTAAAGGCCTGGATCTTGGCTTTGATCCAGGGTACTCACAAACCCATATACCCAGACTCCTCGCTCAGTCTCTTGAGAGCCCTAATCAGAGCCTCCATTGACTCCTTGAAGATTACAGTGCCATTGGCAAAGTCAAGATTGGTAAATCTTTATTCACCAGCAGATGCCCCAGAGCCACTGGACCCCACGACCCTGCCCAGCACTCAGTCCATGCATGCACTGAATAGAGTAGGGGCAAGAAAACACCCACTACTTGGGTCTGCTCCCAAGGAAGCAGGAGAGCAAGTCGTCACAGATCCAATTGAGGATGACCCTAGTGAGGACCTTACCCGCACTGAGAGGAGTGTTATATCCCCCTGTAGTTGCCTCAATCTAGGCCATCCCTCTCCCCTTTTCCAGATATGGTCAAAAAGTCCAGTAATCGAGTCAGTGGGGATGATGCCTGTCTCCCAAATGGAAGCAAAGATACCACAGATTATGTGTGGCATTTCCTACCCCCTGCTGGTTCACCACAGCTAGTTAAATTTGCCACAGTAACAGCTACTCTCTGAGTATGGCGGCCATCAGAGCGACCAGAATAGTAATAGGTGTACCAGCCTACAGAGATCTGGCCGTTCCCCAGACTGCATACCTCAGAGAGTTCTGCCACTGAAAAGCGGACTTTTCAAAGCTCCCCTGGCAGCAGGGGAAGACTGTCATCATGCCAGAGAGATAAGACGTGCCTAACTGGATGAGCCCCCTCGGATTAGGACCCGAGTGATGTTGTGCAGTGGGTGATGCCTTGGCACCACACCAGGCCTGATCCCCCAACAGACTTAACCCCATTGGCTCCCCAGCGGTTTTGACTCCTCCGGGGATGAGGCTTCCAAAGGCTTTCCTCCATCCCCTTCATGATACATGCAGCCTTCCTGTGGGCGGCTGCAGCAGAGTTACTCCCGCTGAGAGCAGAAAGAGAGTCCTGTGTGCCGTTTCGGGGCTGGGTGACGTTTTTACGGTGGCTGGAGCGCCAGTCCCGCCACCAACCCCCAGATTTGTCCCTGCATGATGGAGGGCTGCTCGTACATAAAGCACTCGCCGCGTAATGCTGGCTGTCACTTGCTGGAGACAGCAGCAGGTGCCTGATGCCGCTGTGTGTGTCGCTGTGCCGTAACCTGAGTAATGTGACGCCTGCTGTGTCCACAGTCTAGGGAGATGGAGATCGCCGTGTACTGGAAGGACTACCGCTCCCTGTGCGCCCTCAAGTACCTGAAGCTGGAGGACTTCCTGGACAACCAGAAGCACCAGATCCAGCTGGACCTGGAGCCGCAGGGGCAACTGCTGGCTGAGGTAGAGGGAGACGCATGCACACACACACACATGCACACACACACACACACACACACACAGAGTGAATGTTCCATACCATTCATTATCATTAAAACCTGAGAATATGTAATCGTTTATATTTTATGCTTCTTATTCTGCAAAATATCTGCTGTTTTTTTCCTTGATCTGTATTTGACATTTCGCTCTTTCATTGTGCAAACTTCTGTAAACATGAATAGTTCTGCGATCAATGGTCATGTCCCTACTAGCACAAAACAATGACTGCAGAGCTAAAATCAGTACCAGATCAAAAATAAAATAAAACTTAGCATAAACATTAGATTCAGATTAACATAAAAAAACATGCTGCTAATGTCAACCATTTTATTGATTAAAAAGTAGGGAAAGCGGGTTATGGGATTTGGGAGAAACACTAAGAAGTTCTTGTACCTGTGTGCATAATGGCGTGTAGCGATGCACTCAGTGCCAGTTCCTCTAGTCTGTGGTAATAACAGGAATAGTTTTATTTATGTACCACTTTTCTGTTATACAGCATACAAAGTGCTTTAAAGAAGGAATAAAAAACAAGGTGCATAAAAACGTAAATGATGGAAAAAACAATGAAACACATAAAAGGACATAAAATAGTAAAAAAAAAAAAAAAACAGCATGAATACCACAATCAGATTTTGTTGAGAAAATGCAGTAAAGATAGTCTAATTGAAAACAGAAGCTGAATGCATCCACTGTGTGCATTCATGTTTTTATGATGAGAACATTCTATAGCCTGGTTCTATGGTGAGTGAAGACTGATTACCCAAATTTTGAACAGATTGGGAGGATGACCCACAGGTTGCTGCGGGAACTAAGCATTCTGGACGGGACATATCTAAAACGCAAATCACTGTGTGGAGCTGGCCCACGCAGAAAGCTGAAAACTTTCAGAAGAATTTTAAGTTTAGTCCTAAAAAATAAAATTAAGTGTTGGAGAATTTTTGAGGGCTGGTGAAATCCCCATAGCTGGTACATGTCAGTATTCTAGCAGCAGGGATCTGAACTCATCGTGTTCTCAGGTGGGCCTGGCAACAGCATAGCAGCAGTTCCGTCTTGATGGCACAGTGTTTGGTGTTAGCTTTTCTAAGTAGACAGATCTTGGCAGAATTCCGTAAATGGAAATAGACTATCCTTAAAGTTTATGATCATTCTACAAAGTGACGCCCACAGTTTTAACCAGGTCTTTTAGCTTCACTACTCTTTATACGAACTTTTGTCTCATCTTAGAGCTGTAGAAAAGCCGCATCATATGCATACTGATATCACTGATGTATTTGTGAATCGTGCATAAAGGTTAAATAACAGCAGCCCATGGGTGGGGAACCTCTGACGCTCCTTCTGTGAACCAGTGGTCCCTCAAGTTCATTGATTCGCACGTCGCCAACAGGCCAGCCTTGCAGTTGACAGCCATACAGAGCCGCTGCACTGATAAACAAATCTGTGAAACGCATGTTTATTGAATGGCTAAATTATTTTGTCAGAACTTCTATGTTATAACGGCTTCTTTACAGATTTAAGGGAAAAAATGTCTGTGTGTCTATATAAGAAATATCTGCTGGCCAGTCGTGGGGATGACTATCAGACAATAAGTTCACCACCGATCCGGCTGTAGCGCTTGCACACATGCACCATGCGTCGCACGCGGAGGTGGAGGACAGTACCCGTGTGTGATGTGTGTGACGTGTTTTCCAGGTCACCTTCTTCAACCCCATCATAGATCGCGTCCCTCGCCTCCAAAGACAGAAGAAGATCTTCTCCAAGCAGCAAGGTGAGACTTGAGAGCCTCTCGTTCAGAGCTGTTCTTCGGTGACCCAAGATCAGAGGGCCATGAGATGTGTGTCTCTCCACCGTGGGCAGGGTGCAGACCCTGTTAGCTCCACAGGGACTGCACCTAAATATCACAGCAGCACCTTCAAAGTTGCACAGAGAGAGGCGGCCATCCTGTTCAGGCTGCTCCATATACGCCAGGGTGAAGTACAGCCAATCCTCGCTAAAGGGCCATTCAGTCTGTCGACAATGGCTATGCCAGTCTGTCTTTGCCCTGAGAACCTTAGCGCCATCTGGTGGCTGCAGTAATGCCTTACTTGGAAGCTTTTGAATTAGGCTAGTGTAGGCTGTGCTTCACTGTGTGTATGTGTGTCATACAGGCAAGGCCATCCTGCACGGTCGACCGGTGAACGTGGACATCAGCACCTGGGTGCGGCTGCTGAAGAACGCCATTCCCACGATGAACAACTCGGGCACCTACAGCCCCAACGCCCACTCTCACGGCACTGGGTACGGCCCATTTACTCAGCCTGCTGCTGCGAATGTGTATGAATCCCCTTGACTGTAAAACCATCCAGAGACTGCCTGTTCATTTTCTGTGCGCCGTCCAGCAAATACAAATCCTCACAGACAGTAATAATCACACACTGATAACAATGGTGATGATGGATACCGTCTGTGTGTCTCAGGGAGATATCCATGGACAAGCTGAATCTGGAGTGTGATTCGCCACAGAAGCCTGACATAAAGAAGGACACGGACACCCACACCCCGGTGAGAGGCAGATGGGGAGGAATGGGGGTGGGTTGGGAGGAGGTGATGAGATAAAGTGGAGCCAAGAGACCCATGAAACACAGAAGGAACCCAACCGCCACGTGACTGACCACAATGACCGTGTGACCCTGCGGAGGCTCCCAAACCTGTAATCTGAGCTATCTGAGGGGAGGATTAGTCTCATGGAGGAGCTGGGGTGCAGAACCTGAGCCACAGAGGCTGATGGGATGGCAGTAAAGAGGGTGAGGCAACCCTAATTAGCTCCAGTTCCACTTGCAGAGCGTTGGTTAGAAGGTAGTGTGGTTACCAGGTTTGTGGCCAAAAGCTTAGAATGATCTGCAAAGGGGGAGGGGTATTTATTTTTTCCATGGAGTGAGTGATGGAGGGGGGGGTGGGCTGGCAGATGGTGTGGTCAGTGTGGCTCCAGGATTACAGGATTAATTATTGTGAAAATGCATTACCAGGAACCTGAAAGATGGGGGGGGGGGCAGAATAATAAATGTTCCTCTATGTACATGTGAGTCTGTATGTCTGACTGTGACTCTTCAAGGTCGATTCGTTGGCACAAATTAAACAAGCTATCCCATCTGCCTGTACCCCCCCAGGAGCGGCTGCCTGTGATTGAGCCCTTCAGCCCTCCAGACCTGACCCCTCAACGCCCCCAAAGAACCCCCTCCCAGAGCTCCCAGCAGAGGTACAGGCACGTGGGCGCACACATGCTCTCACACCGTGGGATTTACAGGTGCTGCAGGTGGTACGGTAGTGAGCCTGTGTGCTTTTATTGTCGAAATCACAAATCACAACAAAAGATAGGAGGCGGATCATTTTAATAAATCAATCATTGGTTGATGGCGGCAGCGGTTTCTCTCTGAGCTACGCCACATCAAATTTGGTTTTCTTCCAAGCCTGAATAATTTATGAATTAAAAATTATTATTACTAATGTGATGAGAGTCCGAACACAAGGTTAATACTGACAGTTGCTTCGTGACAGCTATACAATGTGGGCTTAGAGATCTACGGTTTAGTCCAGAGCATTTAAAAAAATATTTATGCTGTGGAACAAGTTTTATTTTCTGAGGTTTGTCACTTTTTATGTAATGTGGACTTCAGGATTTTTGTTCTCCCTCAAGTGTTTTTCTTCCCTCTGTGAGGCATGCAGCCATGGATCGAATGAAATGAGACATTAAACAGCTCACTGTCCCTTTGCAAAGCTGAGTGACGTTTGACAAATGTACTAAATGCAGGTTGCAATTCACAGCGCAGGCGGTAATGCTGCAGAATCATAACATGAATTGCATTAGCATAAGGACCTGGATGAATGCATGGGGAAATTATAGGAATTGTAAGCTTGCCAAGCACCTGTGCTTATTTTGATGGCAAGTTGGAAGCCCTGATCAGGACCTCTGGACAAATGATTGCTTAGGCTTGCTTTTCAGCGCACACTTTAAAACCATTTAATGTCCATCCATTTTCAATAACTGCTCGTCCAGTTTGGGGCTCAGTGACCTGCAGATAGCCGTACAGTGTGCAGTGTTGGCCTGACTAATGATGAACCTCTTTCTCTTTCTTTAGTAAACAGAAGAGTAATCCCCTTTCCCTTCAGAACTTCCGGCTGGTCGCAGTGCTGGGCAGGGGACACTTCGGAAAGGCAAGTGCCCCCATTTCAGCCCTCCTCCTGCTGTCACCCCCACTCCCCACAGCCTTATATACCCTCCCATCCATCCATGTGTTCTTCAGGTGCTGCTGTCTGAGTACAAAGAGACAGGTACCTTATACGCCATCAAGGCCTTGAAGAAGGGAGACATTGTGGCCCGGGACGAGGTGGAGAGGTATGACCACCATGGAAACCAGTAGGGGGAGGGTGCATTATTGCTATGTGACATCATAGGATGTGTGAGTGAATCTTACTGGGTGGTACACATGCGTATCCACTGACATTTGGTCACTTGCCTGAATCCCCTTTCTCTTCTCCCTCTTTCATTTGTCTGCTCCCTCCCACCTCAGTCTCATGTGTGAGAAACGGATCTTTGAGACAGTCAACAGTTCCAGGCACCCCTTCCTGGTCAATCTGTTTGCGTGCTTCCAGACGCCGGAGCACGTGTGCTTCGTCATGGAGTACACGGCCGGGGGCGACCTAATGATGCACATCCACGCCGACGTCTTCAGCGAGCCCCGTGCCATGTGCGTGATTCTGCGCCTGTAAGCTTCTCTGTTCCCGTCAGGGAGCCTGCCCTGACCATACGCATCTCTTTTCATCTGCAGGTTCTATGCCGCCTGTGTGGTTCTCGGCTTGCAGTTTCTCCACGACCACAAGATCGTCTATCGGTGAGCTCTGGCCCCGCCGCTCTCCTTTGATCTCCTTCCTCATGCTCTCTGTCCCCCACATTAATTGCGGCCTCCCACAGGGACCTTAAGTTGGACAATTTGCTGCTGGACATGGAAGGATACGTAAAGATCGCAGACTTCGGCCTCTGTAAAGAGGGTGCGTAGGTTTCTACCTCACAGAGAAACAGGCCTGTGGCAGAATCGGTCAGTAATCTGGCTTATCCTGCCGCCTTCAGGGATGGGATATGGCGATAGGACCAGCACCTTCTGTGGCACACCAGAATTCCTGGCACCAGAGGTGTTGACGGACACATCATACACCAGAGCTGTGGACTGGTGGGGACTGGGCGTGCTGGTGTACGAAATGCTGGTTGGCGAGGTGAGACTGTGTTTTTTTTGTTTTTTTTGAATGCAGTAAGTGTGATTATGAGCAAGCGTGTCTGGCATATAGTGTGTCTTCACACCGCTTTCCCTGTCCATGCGTCTGTGCGTCTGTTCTGCTGGCAGTCCCCTTTCCCAGGTGATGATGAGGAGGAGGTGTTCGACAGCATCGTGAATGATGAAGTCCGCTATCCCCGGTTCCTCTCCACAGAGGCTATTAGCCTGATGAGACGGGTATGTTGTGTGATTGTGTGCCTCTTCTCGACGGAGCTACTCCTGGATGAACCCTGGCCATCGTGCACCTTTCTTAGGTGATCAGTGGTCCCTGTTGACACACCACAGCACACAGTGCACAACAACGAAATGCGTCCCCTGCATTTAACCCATATGTGACATCGTGACGTAGCAGGGGGCAGCTGATTCAGCGCTTGGGGGCGGTACCTTGCTCAGGGTACCTCAGTGGTACCTTGCTGGTCGGGGATTTGAACCATCTTTCAATTACAAGTGCGCTTCCCTAACAATTAAGCCACTACTGCCCACTGTCTGACCAACAGCGCAGCCAGTTTCTGTTGTTGAACAGTCCGCTGACCTTCTGATTATCCACATCAGGTGTTCTTGAGACTGTATAGTTCAGGCATGTTCAGTGGCTTGGGGGTCCATCAGGAAATGGTTGTGAGATTATAACATCATGGTATCATCGTGTTGAGCAAAGCTGTCTGCCAGTCTGCACTGTCAGGAGTGTAGCCCTGTCCTGATGGGGTCCATCGCTGGCCAGAAGGTCATTTAACTGTAGCTGAGGAAACCTCTGAAAATGAGGGGGGGGGGTTCCTAGGACAGGGTGTCAGTAGCCAGCATGTGAGCCGTGCCGGCGTCCTTCAGAGCAGCTGTCAGAAATAAAGCAGGATTGAGCAGATACTCTGCTATCGACACCTCCATCCTCTGGGGCTGTGGCAGGCTGCAGAGCAGGGCCACGATCCAGCGTATACGAGTGATATTTTAGTGATATCATACCGGGTTACGTGCTTCTGCCACCTTTATGAAATGAAGGAAGATTGTTCCTGGAAGTTTTTACAGTCGCCCCAGAGGCTTGTAGCTACCAAAAAAAAAAGCTGGAGATATTCTCAGTACTGCCAGGGGGCTTTTGTGATGTCACAGTGAGATAATTTGTGTCTTGAGTTGAACTTAATTAGTTTTTAGTTATGAAAGTAGATAATTATATACATGGAATAGTGTGGCCAGGCCATAGTCTGTGCATCACAGCAGCATGGGTGTAAATTATCTACAGAATCTTATTTTATCATCTAAAACTTGTGACAAATGGTTACCTTCTCAATAGTCATTCCTGTAGGTGTAAGCATAGCAGTTTTTAACCAGGGAAGCGCAGAGACCAGAACAAACGTGCCCAGCCTCTGCAGTGGCTTATGGGTTCCTGGTTCAGCTCCTCCCCCCCCCCTCTGAACCATCCTTGCTCTCTTACCCACCACAGCTGTTAAGAAGGAACCCGGACAGACGCCTCGGCTCCAGTGAGAAGGACGCTGAAGATGTCAAGAAGCAGCCATTCTTCAAGGTGAGACACCAGGGTCTTGCCGCCCTCATCTCCAGCTTGGCCCTCCATCTAGCTGTCTCTCTAATTTCCTCTCCCAAACCTGTAGCCAAACCACATGTTTGTTACATTCCATCAACAGCACACCTGATTCAGGTGACTGACAGCCCGCTAAGCCCTTTAATCATGCGGAGATCTGAGGAACACTGCACTGCAGTATGTCAAGCCCAGTGATTAACAGGCTCCAGCCTCTCCATTATGCTCTCTGCTTCCTGGCTTCCATTTGTTGTTCTCCACCTCTTACGTCCCAGATCTCTCTAGGCTCCTTACTTAGGTCACCTTTGTGCTGTATAGTTATGTGTGTTGCCATCAGGTATAAGGTTAAATACTGCACTGTAACTGCACTGTAACTGCATACTGAGCATGCACCCATCTGCTGACCTGCACGCACTGCAGCTGTGTCTTTGGCTCTCACGAGATCTTGTGACTCCAGTTATTCGGCTGTGTGTGAAAGTCCCCCGTTCTTCGCCTCCAGGGCCTGGACTGGGAGGCCCTGCTGAAGAGGAGGTTGCCGCCGCCCTTCGTGCCGTCTATCAGGGACAAAGAGGATGTCAGTAACTTCGATGATGAGTTCACTCTTGAGCTACCGACTCTCACCCCACCTCGGGAGCCCCGAATTCTGTCCCGCAAGGACCAGGACAACTTCCGTGACTTTGATTATGTCTCTGATCTCTGCTGAGGCCTAAGACAGAGGGGGGGGAGGGAAGTGGGTAGACCAATCTGTACGTCTGTTACTGGGACACAGGGATGGTCAGGAGTCCTATTTTTCCTCGACTGAGAGAACAAAGCATGGAGGGGGGGGGAGGATCTGTCACTTGTCCTGTTTTCCACACTGTGACATGGGGGGTGTTATGAATGAATGTCTTTTATCTAGGGTAGGTGAGAGGAAGAGGGAATTGGTGAAGATTTTATGTCTGTTTTGCCAGTCTGTCCCATACTGTGACTAAGTTTGTCTGTTACACAGAGTGGTGACCATTCCACGGTTGAGGAGGTACCATTTTCTGAAGGAGGTACAGCTGACGAGGGCTTTTTTTTTTTTTTTAAACAATTTACAGTTGCTCAGTCTGGTCTTCTCCCCCCTTTCTGCCCTCGGTAACATGTAGCTTCCCCCCCCTGGACTCTTCTCCAGCCTCATTAATGGCACCCTATGTTCCCAGGTCCACTTTGCACCTGTGTAGTAAGACCAAAAGCCCTGTAGCCCCGTTGCGTAGTGCCTCAGGGGGGAGTGTCCGCAGAGGGAAGGACAGACCTCTGTTTATACTGTGACACACAAAAATGTCAGGAAGGGGGGGGGGGATGGGTGTGCATACCGACTGAAGCCTTAAATTTCCTGAAGGTCCTGAAGAATATGTTTTCGATTGGGGCGGAGGCGTGGATCTCCTTATCCAGAGCAGTGGTTCTCAAACCTGGCAACCCAGAGGCACAGCCAGTTTTAATGTGAAGAGAGGTGGTCCAGAAGGCAGCCAGTCGGCCCTTGAGGTAAAGCTGCCCTGCACAGAACGACAGACGGCCCCTGTGACACGTTTTAGCCTTTTCATATAGCTGAGAACTGTAGGTGTTGCTGTAGCCCGTGTGGCGCTTTGCCGCTTGCAGATGCAGCCCTCATTCAAAGAGGATTTGGGAACCACTGGACCCTCCACTCCCGATCACACTAGGAGACTAGTGCATTCATGAAGGACGCTTTTTATATTTTTAACTGTTCATGTGGTTTTACATTAATGGACTGTAACAACAATTATGATGAACATTTGACTGATGATGCTGTAAAGGTTCATGCTGGTTGAATTACACAAAAACAAATTGGAACTAATGGGCTGATTTTTTTTTTTAGTTTACCTTCTCCTTTACGCTCTTAACTGGTGATGATGCGTCCAGGTATTGATGAAAAGTGCTAAATGAACCTAAGTCACCTACACACAGGAAGATGAAACGCGCTGCCCTGTCCAAAGACACGTTTGCTTGATGCGGATAAACACAGAGAAACCTAATACATAAACACCACAGGGCTCAAGACGGCTCACACCACCAGATGCAAAGAGCCCCAGCGTGCACAGTTCAGCAGTAATGGATGGGATCCCCCTTTCATTTCTGGCTGGAGTTTGGTGTGTCCTTCCCTGACTGCCAGCTCTGCCTGACGTGTAATTATACAAAACGCAGAGCAGAGTAAGAAGCTTCTATGTATGAACAAAAAAAACGTCCTGAATTGAGGTACCAAGCTGTGGTGACTGTCCAGTTCACTAAACCCACGTTTTTCACCCTCACCTACACACTTGCTCATTCACTGCTTTAGTTAACCAAAAAAGGAAATTCATTGTAAACGTGCACATGCAATCTGATGGCTAAACTAGGTACATAGAGTGAGTTGAGTGCTCAATTTGGGTTGCCAACTCTAGCGTGACACACTTTCTGACTCTCACGCAAGGAATATTACAGGAAATCTATATTATTCCATTATAAACTACATCAAAAGCGGTGGGGTAGTTTGCAAACCCTACAGAATATTTGCAAGGTAATAAAACTTTACATACATGTAAATGTGTGTGCAGACTTGTCTCAAATTGAAAATGTCACGTCAGCCAGCTGACCAAAGTTGACAACCCTGCTTTATATAGAATATAATAGAGCTGTACACTCAGTTAATTACTTTTAAATTAATTCAGTAAGATTGCAGTAACTGAACTGTACCATGTCAGACAAGTTCTTGCTGGCCGGTCTATGGAAGGAGAAGCATTTTTGAAGCAACAGTGAACTGCTCAAAAACCTAGGAGCATGGGGGGTGAGACGGGAGATGTGACATCACAGTCCTATCACACTGACGTGAACCAGCACCTTGAACAGTATATGGCTGGGTTGGGAAACCGGACGAAACTCCCACAATACAAGGGAAAACAAAAATCTGACACGCGGCAGACTGCGACCACAGACATGCAATACTTACTAAACGAAACAATGCTTTGTTAGCTAGTGATTTCTGTATAACTGCTGAACGCAGTTTCTCATGCTCAGTGACTAAACCTAGGTAGGAAACACTAGTAAACCATAATGAAAAGGTGGGGGTACGGCCACTAATCTCATGTCCTGGGATACATGAGGGCAGCATGAACGGAGAAGAGGTTGTACAATCAATCAAAAACCTACTTCTTCCAAAGAAAATACTGAACCACGACGTTTGAAAACGGAAGTGCTATCACTGCGTTCAAAAGTTTGCACCGTGTGTGTGTGTCTATATATATATATATTTTATATATATATATATATATATATATATATATATTTGCTTATTATATGAGAATGACCGAGATCTACCGAAGTTATTTCAATGTCCTAGTTTTGTCTCTATTAAAGGGATCACTTAACAGTGCGCATTGTGATCCAGAACTGGGTTGAGAACAGAGGGGCCAACAAAGGGCAATGTTCCCACTATTTTTTCAACTTTAATTTAAAGGGATTGTGAAATAAAGTAAATCCACCCTACAGAAATCGAATGACTACAACGATGCACAATTACTTCACCTGCTACATCCTGAAGACCTACTTGGAATTCTACCGTTTTATATACATTTTTACCGTTAAATGGGTTTTTGTTATAAGGGTTATGGTAACCTTTGTAAAAACTGAATATTGTATAAGGCACCAATAATATTACTGATGTTAACATTTTAAAAAATAAAATTATACCTGTTTAACTTTCTGTATTCCTAGCTACTTGCATACATTTAATAATAATCAGAATCAGAATCTTTTTATTCGCCAAGTACAAGGAATTTCTTTTGGTGCGGGTGGTATCATGACATAAAACATACAAATAAACATCTAAAAAGTACAGATACAAGGATTTTTTTTACAGGAGATGTGCAATGCTGAGTCAAGCATGTGGACAATATAAATAAAATAAATATATAATGGATGGATGTAATGTGCAAAGAGCTTAGGTACAGTGCAGATGAGTTCAGTTAGTTAAAATATAAGCTTGAACAGTGTGTGGTTCCATTATGACAGTTTTTCATGGGTCCTTATTTAGAAGGGCGATGGCCTGGGGGCAGAAGATGTTCAGGTGACGATTTGTTCTTGTGCTCAGGGATCATATTCTTTGCTTTCACTGGGATGGAAGATGCTGGAAAAGAAAGTGGCCAGGATGCAGAGGGTCAGACATAATTTTTTTGGCTCTGTTCTTCATCCGAGATGAGTACAATGCTTCAAGAGGGGGGAGCTGACAGCTAATGATCTTCTCTGCACATCACACTATACGCCGTAGTCTCCTCTTAGAGTGCGATGTTGCAGAGCCAAACCAGACACAGATGGAGGACGTAATAATTGATGCTACTGCAGCCGTGTAGAACTTAGCCACGAGCTTCTGCGACAGCTTAAATTTCTTTAGCTTATGTAAGAAGTATAGGCACTGCTGAGCCTTCTTAGTGATGGAGGTGATATTTGTGTACCATTTGAAGTTTGGGGTTTGGATGGTGTTGTGCAGAAATTTGACGGTTTCAGATCTGCTCACAGTAGTGTTCCGTATGACCAAAGGAGGTGGTGCTGGGGTTTTTTTTTTGGAAGTCAGTGATCATTTCCACCGTTTTTTTGTGTGTTCAAGTCTAAATTGTTTACATCACACCATGACACCAGTCGACTTACTTCCTGTCTGTAGTTGGACTCATCCCCATTTTTTATGAGTCCAATCTGGGTGGTATCGTCTGCAAACTTAAGGAGATTTACAGATTGATATTGTGAGATACAGTCGTTTGTGTACAGGGAGTAAAGCAGGGGAAAGAGAACACATCCTTGTGGGGCACCAGTGCTGAGGAAGATGGGATCTGAAATGTGGTCACCTGTCTTCACGACCTGTTTCCTGCCAGTTAAGAAGTCATGGATGAAGTAGAAGAGAGATGGCCGAACATTGAGAGACAATAACCAACTAATAAAGAGATTTTAGTGGTAATTAAAACGATCTTTTTCATTAAAAATGCATATAAGTACATCAAAACCTTATTATGATTCCATAAATCAGGAATCAATAACTTCGTTAATTAATGTTTCTATAGCCTTACATACAGAACGGCATCACCATCACGCTACATCATATGACCTGCTGGCAGGGACTTTCCAACTCGGGATGTTTCTATGGTACTACAGCGAAGCCCTGGTCCTCCAACATCCCGACATGCCTCAGCCAATGCAACGCTCCCGTCGTCCGCTAGCGACGCTAGACGCAGTAGGCGCAGTACTCCATGGTCCGTAGTTTTTCAAGATGTCGTCGCTGGAACAGAGACTCTCCCGGATCGAGGAGAAACTGAAACAGGAGAATAAGGAGGCCCGCCGACGTATCGACCTTAACATCGACATGAGTCCTCAGCGTTCGCGCCCAAGGCCAAGTAAGTGTCCGTTACAGAGGAATGAAGCGAGTCCCCGAAGAAGATCGCGGATAGCCGAGGAAAGGACTTGCCGAGAGGGAGGGGAGGGAAGGGGACGGAGGGGGAGTGTAATTGAGACATCGTTGGCCAGCCAGCTACATATAAACAAACCTGAGCTCGGCTTCTTTATCGGCAGCCTTGTCCTCCAGAGCATCGCGGATGTTACCGAGCGCCCACGAAGGGCCGCTTGGGGGGCGCTTTGCTGTGATTCACCCATTACAGTGTGCTGTTCTGCTTAGGAAGGGCTCTGCTGTCGGGTTAGTTAGCCAGCATTAGCAGGCCCCATCTGTCCGGCGGTCAGTCAGCGGGGCGGTTTGTAGCTCATCGGGTCTCCGTTTGCCATAAGGAACAATATGCAGCCCGGTTATATATAGACCCGGCTGTGATCCCAATGCCTTGTGTCTCTTCCCCGATCGTGTGTGTTGCCCTGTTGGTAAGGAAGCAGCGGGGTGTTTGACAGGGGACACGCTTAGGCAGGGACTGCTTGGCTGGCGGCTCCGGCCCGGGGGTGATTCCCTGTGTCTGTGATCATGGGCGCCCGTCTCCGAGGCTTGTTCACCTGGGGCCCTGTCCTGTCATCTACCAAGTGACCGGTTTTTGAGCTGCCCGCTGTTGGACTTTGCGGATTAAATGTCCAACTTTGTTGGTCTTCTGCGTAAAGGAAAGAGAGTATTTGTCAGGCCGTGCAAAATCTGACGTCTTACGGTTGCCTTCAGTGTGATGTGTGAAGAGAGCGAAGCAATTAGACATGATCATGACTGTAACCATGTCTCGGATAACCTGATGACCAGAGCATTTCTCCTATATGATGCCCTTTTTCCTAATGCATGATAATCTTATACAATATTTTATCATTATAGCAATGTATGGCTTTTCATAGTCTATATATCGTTCATGGAATTGAACAATGTCTCTCTGATTGAGTTGGTGTGTATAAGTTGTCCCTGTATGTATACCTGTGATGAAGTACTTTGCTTGGCTGTGTGCTGAATGGATGTTGAACTGTGCCTTCTCAATATTTAAATTCCACCTTGGTTCTGTATGGCTTGTTGCCAGATGCCACTTGCCATTTGACTGCTTTGTGACAAATTTGTCAGACTGTAGTGCATTATTTTCCCATTTTGTTGTTGAAGGTGATTGTCGTCTTGAGTATAATAGTGTTTGTATAATGGTTTTATGTATTGGTCTAATTCTACCATTCAGTCTGCTGGTATTTTTCTGAAATTCTCCCTGTATAAATGATTTGCAGTATAATTATGAATAAATGGCATTTTCTTTTTGGGGAATAGTGCATTTTATATTCTAAATGAGTGTATAAGAATTTGACATTCCCATTTCACGTAGCACAAATTTCGCTGTAGTGTACGTTTTATCAATATGTTGAAGGAAAATCATAAGATAACACTGAAAGTCAATCAGTACCTCCACAGTGAATCTCTTCTAGTCCATAGTTAATGTACATCACTGGCTGAATGTCAAATCCATCCATCTTCTAACCTCGAATCTTGCACTTATCTGGCCCATGACTGTCAAAATTCATGGCTTCTTTAAAAACATGCTGCAGTTTAAGACTGTAGAAATTCATCCAGTGGTCGAGGTTTTATCCTTTCTAAGTAATCTTCAGCTTCCTCTTTGCGTATTTTCTGTATGTTTTGAAACATTCTCTGTGAGGTACTTTGAAGGCAGTTTGTGGGAACCTGGTGGCTGAAATGAGCCATGATAAAACCTCCATCCACGTTCAATTGATACAGATTTCAAGTGTGTTTAATGTCACACGCTGACCTTTGAGCTGCTGAGCCAGTGTGACATCAGGTGTGAGGAAATCCTGCAAGATGGACAGTTCACATTTCAGCCAGGCGGTCGGGCTGCAGACGGGTTTTATACCACATGGTGCTGGAACACTGCGGCATGTCATGTTCATGACAACTGTCATTTCTCTATTGGCTGAGGAATAGTTTGTTGAATGTATGTGTGTTTTGTATAAGCTAGTTTATTAGGTTTATTCTAAGACAACGTTCAGTAATGAGCATTCAGCAAGGAGCATACAGAAGCTAGCAAGTTTGGCCGTGCACAGTGTAGTTCGTGTGCGCATGCGTGTGTGTGTCAGGTGTCACGCACAGTGATGTACGTGCATATAGCTGTGATATGCGTGTGGTCGCGCCAAGCACTCTCCGCCATGTACAGTATAGTAATGTGCGTGTGTGTTTTCTCTCCCCTGTGTCCAGTCATCGTGATCCAGCTCAGTCCTGCTCCAGCCCCTTCCCAACGTGCAGGTATCATTCCAACCATCCTACCCCCCCCCCCCCCCCTGCCATTGCGCCCTCTTTGCCTGTCACACTCTCTCTCTCCCACGCTGGCTCCCTCCTCCTCCCTCTCATCTAAAGTTTGAAAGGTACTGGTGAACTTGCAAAGGCCCCCGGGTCAAATTATCTGCTAACCCCCATTGCTTCTCCTACCCTGAGCAGCCTTTGTAGCTGAGGTTCTGTGTAGTGGTAGAACCCTGTCATTTGTTTGCTTTAATTCTGTCCATCTATTTATAAAAAAATTAACTTTACTTACAGAAGTAAATTTATGCCTAGTAGTGCAGTTAAGTCAATAAATATAAATCGCAAGTTCAATTGCACCATATATATTTATTACTTATTTCACTTAAAATTAATATATACTCTGAATAAAGTTTATACTGCATATAGATGCCTTCCCCACTCGCCCGCTCATCTCATTCTCAGCAGTCTTGGCTTATTCCCCTCGTTTTTCTCTCTTTCTCCATTCCTCCTCTGCTCCCCCTGTATGGGTGTCAGTGGCAGGGCAGCCTCCTGGCATGCTCACGTGTGTGCGTGTGTGTGGAGGTCACGTGAGGTTATTAACCCTGAGCTGCTGTACTGAGACTCTGCATGGAGCTTCCTGCACGGCCCCATCCACTCGGGCTGTCACCGGGCCGCCCCCCGGGACGCCGTTCGACTCGGTCGCTTCTCCCAGACGCTCTGGGCCCCTTCAGGTTCCCGTTTCCACACGTTCGGGTGCCTCCGCTGATCCTCAGTCCCAGTCCGCCTCACAGGCGTTGTGTTCCTGGAGGCTGGTTCCTCTGTCTCAGGCACGACTCTCTCATCTTCACTTTGGATCTTCTCACCAATCTATAGCCCCCTCCCCCCCCACCCTTGGGGGTCGGCGGGCCGTTGGCTGGGACTGTGTATGGCCTTCACACACAGATCCGCTCTGCCTGTCCACCTGCCGTGTGCTTTTGCCTTTCTGTCTGTCTTGTGCACCTAGGTGTAGAGATGTTGCTGTGACTAACTTACTAATGGACTCTACGGCCAGCGGGTCTGCTGGAGGAGGAAAGGCCAGGCCTTACTGACCTGGGACTCTTCCCTGTGTCTTCATCGCTGTTCACTGGTGTTTTTTGTTTCTAGGCAGGTGTCATTACAACAAAATGCTGGTTATCGGAGAAGCTGTCAGGCTCTGTATATAGGCGTCGCCTGGCAGCCTGTATCAAACCCTTTATTCTCTCTCTAGCTGCATTGCTGAGGGCATCATGCCTGTATCAAGCCCTTTATTCTCTCTCTAGCTGCATTGCTGAGGTAGACGTCTCAGTTTGTCCTGCCTGTAGGCAAGGGGGGCACTGAAAATCACAGCCCCAGTGTCACATGCAGCAAGACAGGGAAAGTAGCCAAAGTTCGAATGTCAGTCACAGTAAATTTGCAGGACACTGGAGCTCAGGACTTGGTTTCTGTCCTGTGAGGGAAGTTTATACTGGAAGGCGCCATGTTATGAACTGAAGGAGGGCAGCTATTCTTGCTCTGTGTCTGAATGCGGTCTCCCTAGTGCATGCTGGGACAAGCTAACACTAACTCTGAAGCTGGTTTGGCACGTTCTGTTTTAGTTATTTATTTAAACTGACTAAAATGGTTGATCTGCCTGTGCTGTCATGGTGTGTGTGTGTGTTTGTGTGCGCAACGCCACTAAGTTGGTTTACTGTGAAAAGGTGGGGTCAGTCCACTTACTGTAGGGGGGAAACTCGATCAGCTCACCCCTCTGGGTGCCACTTGGCATGCTCCTTTTGGGGGCGGGGCTTCCTGTCTGATTTCTGCTCCACTCAGCTAAGCAGTGCCTCAGTGCTCAAAGCCTGATTTGTCATTGGGACTGCCAGTCAAGACTCCTATTTGCTACCTTAGTTATGGATGACATGGAGCTCAAAAAGAATTTCTATAGTATTAATATATTGTTGTAAGTAAAAAATGGCATAGAAGCTGTGTAACAATAACATAAAATTATTAAAAATGAATCCTGTAAAATACCCCCCAGCTCAAACACAAACTGTCCCTTTGACTTTCAGTTTTGTGATGCTAATAATGTTGCTCAGTCCATTGTGATAAAATATTTTTTAAATGCTGATTTGACACTTAAAAACCTACTTTAAATCATTTAAATAGATTGTGACAACCTTATTCTTCTCAACTAGTTGTGCTTGGGTATGTTAAACTAGGTTATGATGCAAGTCACCATTAATAGACCGTATATATTTAAAGTCTCATTAAGTTTTTGAATTGACAGTGATGCCACATGTGGTCTGAAAATCTGAGATGAGTGCAGCGCTGAATTAAAGACCTAAATTTAACAGATCTTTCATTTTATAATCTGCTACCTGGAAATACAGAAGTTTGAAAGCTTGTTCACACCAGTTAGGCTTGTCTAATCGAGGATGGCCATACTGTTAAGGGTTCATTCCTCTCTCCTGCTCTGATTTTTTTTTTTTTCCCCTGGCCCCCGTGTCTTTTTCCTCTCTTTTTCCTCTCTTTCCCATTCTTCATCTTGTTCCTCATTCCTTGCGCTCAGCTCTACAGCTCCCCCTTGCAAACGACGGAGGGAGCCGCTCGTCATCATCGGAGAACTCGCCCCAGCACCACGCCTACCCCAGCCGGCCTCGGCACATGCTGACCCTGCCGACCCCGCCGTACAGCCTACAGAAGAGCCTGGAGAAGTATGATGCTAACATGCTAAGTGCTAGCTACATTTCAGCACAAAATGACCACCTCTACCACGTAGTCTGCTGCCCCCGCTGGCATGGTGTCGCATCGCGGCAACTTCGCCCACACACAGTTGGACAGATTCGACCTGCTGGATGATTCATGTGCAATACGGTCCTCTGTTTTTTTTTTACCCTCTTTAAATTTGCATTTAAAATGAATCATAAATGAATAAATGGCCGGCTCACTCAGTAGTCCAGACTAAGGGGCTTTGTATCCTTTTAAAGTGACATGTGAGTTTTATCTACCCCCCACCAGTGCTGAGATCGACCAGAAGCTCCAGGAGATCATGAAGCAGACAGGGTACCTGAAGATAGATGGGCAGGTGAGGCAGCAGGGGGTCCGTTTACATGGTATATCCTTCCACTCACGCGATCGCTTTGCACTGAAGGCACACTGTGTCACGCCCCCCAGCGGTACCCGGCGGAGGTGAGCGACCTGATCAGCGAGGGCGAGATCGGCAGTGGCACCTGTGGTCAGGTCTTCAAGGTGCGCTTTAAGAAGACGGGCCATGTGATCGCCGTCAAGGTGAGGGGGTGCCCACAGGGGCTGGAGGAGGTGGAGGTGGGGGGACTCTATCTCACCACATCACTATTTCTGTTGGTTATCTATCCTTGGCTGTAAGTCTATCGCGTTTGTTTGTTTTCTGTTCGAGCCCTTAATTACATAGTCGTGATTAAGCATTCAGCTGAGCAAAGTCCTAAATTACAGACCTCGTAGCAGTTAAATTATCATGTTAGCTATTTAGTTATTTGCGCAAAGTTAAAGGGCCGCAGGCAGAGATCGGCAGTTTTCTTGTCCCAGTGATCCATCCAATCAGGGCAACACCAGCTGTGTCCCAGTGGGGTGCCCAGTGCACTGCAGAGACACAGCTGTCCAGTAACTGCGCCCGTTATTCTCCAGATGGTGACACACATTCTTTGGGGGGGAAAAAAAAACCCCAAACCGTGATCCTTAAGTAGTATCAGTCTGTTTGGAACAACATTAGCTATTTAGATTTAGTTTCTTTTCCTCTTACTGATTTCCTTTTATAGATAATTCCTTTTTCATTGTAGTTTAAAGATTTAGCTTTGTGATTTTTTTTTTGTGAGTCTTAGGAAGTATAAAAGGCCCAGGTGCTTCAGGCTGTCCGTGGGACTTCAGAGGCCACTCAGGTGGCAGTGACGTCCCTCCTAGTGGCTACAATGACAGCAGTCTGTTCGCTCTCGTCTGTGTCCCCACAGCAAATGCGAAGGACGGGCAACAAGGACGAGAACAAGAGGATCCTGATGGATTTGGACGTTGTCCTGAAGAGTCATGATTGTCCATACATCATCCAGTGCTACGGCGCCATAGTGACCAACGTGAGGAGCGGAGATTGTCTAACATCTCATTGTTTGGGGACAAGAGCGACCGGGCCCACAGCCCAAGTCCAGACACACACAAACACAAAGACGCACACAGACGCATACGTGCTGTTTTTTTGTTGTGGGTTGTGACATCGGCGCCTTCCTTAAAAACAAAAGAGTCATGGGGTGCCATACGTGTGCCGGTCACCCCGGCAACAGGTTCTGACTTTCCCTTCCGCAGACCGACGTGTTCATCGCCATGGAGCTGATGGGCACGTGTGCCGAGAAGCTGAAGAAAAGGATCCAGGGTCCGATTCCTGAGCGCATCCTGGGCAAGATGACTGTTGCAGTGAGTCCCTCTCCCTTTATCACCCCCAGGGACCTATAAGAAGCACACGCTGGTTCCTCGGTAGATATCTCATGGCACCTGCCATCTCCCCGCCCCTCAGATTGTGAAGGCGCTGCTGTACCTCAAGGAGAAGCATGGCGTGATCCACAGAGACGTCAAGCCATCCAACATCCTGCTAGACGCTAAGGGTCAGATCAAGCTGTGCGACTTCGGCATCAGTGGGCGCCTGGTGGACTCCAAGGCCAAGACCCGCAGCGCTGGCTGTGCTGCCTACATGGCTGTGAGTCCTCGCCCCGTGCGGGGGCGGCGCCCCCTAGTGGCCTTTCTGCTGTTGGCTGATGGGCTTCCCCAACACTAGGGTCTTGTTAACTCTGTTCTGTTCACAGCCTGAGAGAATAGACCCTCCTGACCCCAGTAAGCCCGACTACGACATCAGGGCAGATGTCTGGAGCCTGGGGATCTCTTTGGTAAATGCCCCTCCATCATCAATCTGTCTGATACCCACCTCCACCACCCCACCTCCGCACTGCACCCATTCTGGTCCTTGCTATTTGTTTACTTTCCCCCTGGGATCAGTAACGTTAGCATTAATAATTAATAATTATTTCACAGCCTATTTGTTCAGTACTGGATAGTGATGGGCAATTGGTGCTTAATGAACCAGTTGCTGTATTTTCAGACACCACTAGATGGTGCTCTATTCATATCCCAAAGTAAAACAAGAGCGCCATCTAGTGGGTTAAAAAACAACAACAACAGAAAGTGGTTTACGAGGCTTTATTCAGCCATCACCAGTATTGGATGTTCATTTCTCTGGTTTTCTAAGCTGACCCCTGACCCCTCTGTGCCCCCCTCCACCCCCCTGCAGGTGGAGCTGGCCACGGGGCAGTTCCCCTACAAGAACTGTAAGACGGACTTCGAGGTGCTGACCAAAGTGCTGCAGGAGGACCCGCCGCTGCTCCCACTCAGCATGGGGTTTTCCCTCGACTTCCAGTCCTTCGTCAAAGACTGGTAAGGCTGGCCAGGGCCGTTCCCGCTCCAGGTGCGAGAAGCACCCGCGTGTGACTCGACTTCTCAGGCGTGACATTGTGACAGTGGGGGATGTGCATTAGCAGCGTCGGCTCCAGAGCTTCAGTATTTCTGGGGGGAAGATGTAAATTTAACCATAAACTGTTCTTGGTAGCTTGGTAGAGGTCCAAACGGGCTGCAGCCATTGTGGTTGAGGCCTTATGTTCTGGCCATGTGACTCTTGTGAGTCAGTGGCGTTTAGAAGGATTTGCATCATTCTGATTTTGTTTCCCCTCCCTCTGTAGCCTCACGAAGGATCACAGAAAAAGGCCAAAATATCACAAGCTGCTTGTAAGTAATCTGCTTCTGCTCAATACCCCCCAACCCCAAAAATTCCCTCAAAAGGCCAGTACACATTGGTACACACGCGTTAATGGCCCGCCCCCCCCTCCCCCGGCAGGAGCACAGCTTCATCCGACGCTACGAGGTCCAGGAAGTGGACGTAGCAGGCTGGTTCCAGGGGGTGATGGAGCGCACCGAGTCTCCACGCAGCAGCCAGTGTTACAGCCCGCATCAGCTGCAGTCGCTCTTCAGCAGGTAGCTGGAGAAGCCAGGCGGGGAAGCAGGCGAGCAAGCAAGCTGGAGGACTGGAGGACCGAGGCCCAGAGGGGGAGGGGTGGGGAAGGAGGTGTGGGGGGGGTGGCCCTGGTGTCTCCCGAATGACAGACAGACAAACAGATGCTGGTCTCCAGTCGGTGCTGGAACAGATGGGCAGACAGGTGAAGCTCTAGAATGCTAGCGGCTTCCTGATTGGCTGGTGAAGCTCTCGACTGCTAGCGGCTTCCTGATTGGCTGGTGAAGCTCTCTAATGCTAGCGGCTTCCTGATTGGCTGACGAAGCTTTCGCTCCGTGGTGCTTACCTGCTAGTGTAGCCTAACCCTAACACACACGGGGGGGCCTGTAGATTTCCCATGTACATACCGTCACAGGTAGGTTTTAATGAGCTCACAGACACACAGACATAATCAGTAATGCCTGGTTTGACCCGGTTTTATTACAGCCCCGTCTCATTCTGTAAAAAGTCAGACTCACTGTAAGGCGCTCGAGCCGCACCGCAGTGACGCCGTGCCTCAGATGGGTCACTGCGGAGAAAAAGCCACCTATATACTGTCCAGAAGGCACATTCACTTGGCCGCTCTTGCAGGATCATGGCACACCGTAGCTATCGGTGGAGCTCAGCTACTGTAAACGCAGCATGCATGGCTGTAGGGGCCTGTTCAAATGAGGGTGATCGCCAATGTGCAATACTCGTGGTGGGGGGGGGGGGTGCTTGTAGGACGCACAATACGCAGGCAGTCTGCTGAAGATGTGCAGTGTTGGACTAAGTCGCTCTGTAGATCAGATTTCAGTGTATTTTTCTGGGGGGAAGAATTTTGTTCCACTAGTATGGCCCAAGTCAGTTTGTGGGTAAAGGTATCTCAGCACTGAAGGCTTTAACCTGACTCAGGCTAGTCTTTTAGCCTTCATCAAGCTATCAAAGGAAGAAAAGGGAGGTTTCGAAAGGTGTGGAGTCGTTTGGGGAGCTGCTCGGTGGACGGGAAGAGGGATGGGGGGGTGTACATGGAGAGAGAGGACAGTGTAGGACCCGCGGCCCCCCCCTCGCGAGAGACGAGGAAACGGGACGTTGTGAGAAGAGCGTAGCCTCCTGCTCACTGCGGGAGCAGGGGTTTCGGAGGGCGATGCGAAGTGGTGTGAATGCAGTGTCTAACCGTCCTGTGGCAAAGGACTGTGGGAAAGGTGAAGAAGGAGTGCCAACCAGGACCTTCTCCTGGTCTCCTCATCCTGGCCACGGCGTCAAAGAGCGGCAACACTACACACCACATCCGCCTATGTTCAGTCAGGCCATGACACGAGCTGAGGCGAAGCCGCCTCTGATAGCTGTGCGCCAAACCGCCAGTGCGGAGGTGGGGGGGGGGGGGTCGTCTTAAAGAGGATCAAGCAAGTCGTTCAGATGGACACCTTCAGATGGTAGAAGGTGGGAGTGAGGACCTTACAGTGGGCAGAGACTTAGTGAGCTTGGTGGATGAAGCGGCAGAAGGTGTAGCACCAAGGAGGACAATAGCAAGTGAGATGACGATACCAGGAAGCGCAGGAGGAGGTGGGCTGAGATCTGGCAAGGGGCTGATGGGTTTGGGGATGAGCTGGGTGAGGGGATGTAGGGCCAGAGTGGAGGCGTGTCCTGAGACGTCAGACTGGGAGACCTCAGACTCAGCCTGAAGCGGGAGTGTTTTTATCGTGTTTTACTGAATTGGCTGGTAGAGTGGAGCAGAATAAACTGCTGCCGTTATTATTGTTGATGATGTTCTTATTATTTATCTTGTCAACGCTGCTGCTATTGCTTTAGACGCTGCTGTCTTGTGTTTGTCCCCAAAGGATGATTTTAATTTATTATTTTTTTTAAAAGCCAAATAAGTGACGTAATGCAAAGTGAACACAAAGACCAAATATGGACAAATACACTTCATACTGCAATGATGACTCAAAGGGTGGGATTAAAGGCGGGGCGAAGGGGGTGTGCGGCCTCGGTGATCTCTATACCCATGATTACTGTAAGATTATGCTCGACTTAATGTTTAAACACTCCACTTTTAGTGAGCCTACCTGCCTGTTGCCTGTGATGAAATTGAACAGGGTGTGTTCTGCACTTTGCTTTCATTCGCTCCGGTGCAGTAGGCCAGCGATCTGTTGGAAAGCTTAAAACCACAAGCCATGATCATAACTGCAGCCTTGGGGTGATCAAACATTTTACCTGCACTGCTAGTCCGTCAGGTTCACGACGTCTGCTCAGAGCTCGCTTTAATTCAAGCCCACATACATTTTGGCCGCGCAGCTGTTGACGTGAGCTGATCCACAGATGTCAGCCGCACATCTTTAACTGTCAAACAGCGCCCTCTTGTGTCAGACTGCTAAATGGCATTTAGCGCTGGTGCTGCAGGCTTTGCCCTGGGACGAGCGCTGCACAGAGGTTGTTCAGGCTCACAGAATGTCTGTTAACCATTTTATGCCTCGCATAAATTCAGCTATGAACCGGAAACTTGCTGCTCTCTTGTTATGTACTGCAGTCTTCACTACAGCGTTTGGGCGAAATGAAACGACAGTTGTAGCAGTAGCGTGACACTAGCCGGGCTCGCTGCGGTGCTCAAACTTACTGGCCAGCCGAGGCTTCTGCTCGCTGCCATGGCGCAACTCGCACCCGGGTCTCCTGTGGGCTTATTGCCCGTGAATGACCAGGATGCTGGACAGTCAGCCAGTCTTTTTGCCTGCCCGCCTGTCTGTCTGTCTGTTACCTTCTGTCTGAATGGGCCTCCTGAAATAGCACTCTAGATGCGGGAGAAGATGGTGACGTGCACACCAAAGGTGTCAACAAAAACAGATACAAAAAAAAATTGTTATAACTACAATGATTATATATACAGATATATATATATAGATATATAATCTATAGCTAGTGATGAGGGAGGGGCTGTGTAAGCGAGACCAGCTGTGTTGAGGACGCCGCGAGAGGCCGGAGTCCATCGCGCTGACACGGCTGAGCCCTGCCGTCTCGAAACATGCAGAACCCCAAATACAGATTCTGTCCATATTTTAAAGAGCATTAAAGTCAGGCGGAGACTTTCTGCGGTTTAGCCAATCGGATTGTGACGCTTGTCCCCGGCCACCGGCAGCAGCTCCGCGCGGTCGCGCTCACGTCCGGCCTCTCGCTGCGCGCCTTCTCTCACTGCTTGCACCCTGGGCGACTCGCACACGCGTGTGCACACGCTCCAGGTCGATCCTCATTTAAAACAAAGCTGCTTTCTCTTCTCCCGAAAAAAAAAAAGGTATTTTGTGGGTGTTTTCATTCATTCGCAGATGGAGTCATACCTGACAAATAGGAGTGTGTGTGTGTGCGTGTGTGTGTGTGTGCGTGTCTGCTGTCCTCAGCTGATCCCCGAGTGTCGCTGCACACGTGTGTCTTTTATGTGTGTCGGGGGGGTGTCGGGCACAATGATGGAAATGGCTTTGGTGTGAACACGGGGCAGAGAGCACGCCCCCCTAGCTGCAGCGGCCTCCCCATGCCCCGTTTGGAGTCGTGCAGCCCAGGGCTCGTGCTGTCCCCCATCCCCCCCCCCCGCCCCACACCTGACACCGAGCTGATTTTCATGACCCCATCTGTAAGTAAACCAAATATCATTTTCACTATGCAGTTACTCAAATTGGTCAGCTTGCTTTATGGAAGCCTCTTGTATATATTCATGCACAGTGAAACTGGAGTTAGACACAACAGTATTTAAATTTATTATTATTATTATTATTGTTTTATTTTCCCCTCTTATTGCCCCCCCCTCCCCCCCTTATGGTTGATATCTTGCCTTCAACTAGTCCACAGAGTGTGGCTGGGGGGGGGGCCATTGTGTTTTGGATGAGCTGACAAATATTTAAGGATTGTACTGGGGGGGG